GGTCCTCCTCAGTTTCAGCAAGCAGGGTTGTGTCATCTGCATAACGGAGATTGTTAATAGATCTTCCACCAATCCTGATGCCACAATTCTCCTCATAGAGCCCAGCCTCTCGGATAATCTGCTCTGCATACATGTTGAAAAGGTATGGAGACAGGATGCATCCCTGGCGTACACCCTTCCCAATTTTGAACCATGCAGTGTTACCCTGCTCTGTTCTGACTACTGCCTCTTAGCATCCTTAAATATTGCAACTCATAGCTTGAATTTGTTCTTTAGTCCCTTCAGCTTAAAAAAAAGGCTGAGCAAGTTTGGCCCTTTTAATTTTCTGACTCCAGCTCCTTGTACATTTCATTATAATACTTTGCCTTATCTTCCCTAGCTGCCATTCTAAACCTTCTATTCAGCTCCTTAACTTCTTGATTTCTTCCCTTTGCTTTGGCTTCTAGGTGCTGTAGTGCACTATTCAGAGTCTCTTCTGACATCCGTTTTGGTCTTTTCTTCTTTGTAATGACTTTTTGCATTCTTCATGAATGATATTCTTTTTTTTATTCAGATTTTAATGACAATTTGTAGAGAATTTAGATTTCCATTCATCCATCATTGCACATTTTCCTCCCTGCCCCTGCCCCCCAATTCACTTTTCTCTTTCTAAAAAAAAAAAAATTTATTGTTATACAGTCCCCCTGCCCATCCACTTTACTATGCAACTCTTATTTTGGACTCTTGTCATGCCAATAATACCTAATCATATATTCCTTTTATACAGTTCTCTCCCTCATCTGTTTCAAGGCCATGCACATTATTTATCTCCTCTTTTCTTTGTTTCCCCCCAACCCCTATGTCAGTCCTGTTTTATAACAGTAGCATTATGTGGTATTTGTCCTTTTGACTGAGATATTTCACTCAGCATAATGTCCTCCATGGTCACCTATTTTGTATAGTATTTCATGAGTTCCTTGTTTTTCAGTGCTGCATAATATTCCATTGTGTGAATATACTACATCTTCTCTATCAATTTTGTTGATGGACACTTGGGTTGTCCAACTCTTTGCTATTGTAAACAAAGAAGCATAAACTTGGCTGTGCAATGAATGATATTCTTGATATCCTCTCACTGCTCATCTGCTCTTCTTTCATTAGTGTTCAAGGCCTCAAACTTATTTCTGAGTTGGTTTTTCAATTCAGGAGGAATAGATTCAAGATCAGATTTTTATTCCTGTGGATATGGTTTAACCTTCTTTAGCTTTAATTTGAATTTGCATATGAGTAGTTGATGGTCTGTTCCACATTCAGCACCTGGCCTAGTTTTGAACTTCTGCAGTGATTTCTTCCACATATATAATCAATCTTATTCTTGTGCATCCCATCAGGTGAAATCCATGTGTGTAGCCTGTGTTTATGTTTCTTATAAAAAGTATTTGCTATTAATGAATCACAGATTGTACAGAATTCTATTATTCTATCCCCAGCCTCATTTCTGTCACCAACTCCATAGTTTCTGCTACTGAGCCTTCTTCCTGGTTTTCAACTTTCATATTCCAGTCACCCAATATTATGAATGCATCTTGTTTACATGTTTGATCAATTTCTGACTGCCACAGTTGGAAGAAATAATCTATTTCCTCCTCTTTGACTCTTGTTGGTGCATAAATTTGAATGATAGTGGTATTAACAGGTATTCCTTGTATGCATTCGGTTATTATCCTGTCTTGGAAGCAGGAATGGCATCCACTTCCTAAACAACATGCCTCTGGAAACTTAATGAACTTTGATAAGTGGCAATAGTTATAGAATGGCTGCAGACCTTTTGTTCATAGGGTCACTATGAGTTGTGCTTGATTCAAAGGCATCATCAACAACAACATTATCCTGTCACTTACATTATTATATTTCAAAATGGATCTAGAAATGTCCTTTTTAACTATGAAAGTGACCCCGTTTTTTCCTCACCTTTTCACCTCCCACATAGTAGATGATATGATCGTCTGATTCAAAATGTCCCATGCCAATCTAGATCTCATTTGGCTCATACTTAATATGTCAATATTAATGTGTTCCATTTCTTTCTTAACAATGTCCAAGTTTCCTACATTCATTCTTCTCACATTCTGTGTTCCAATCATTAGTTTCTTCTTACAACTGTTCCTCCTCCTTTGTGTTTCCAAATTTGAAGGCTCAACCTCTTTTGCTACATCTGTTACTCTAAGTGTGTTGTGCTGTACATAGGGTTTTCAAAGGCTTGTTATATTTCAGAAGTGGATGTCCAATCTTTCTTCCTTGTCTGTCTTAGTTTGGATACTTAGTTTTAGAACAATATCTGACAGACAAGCATTTTATCAAGCAAAAAAGTAAATCTTCAAAATTGATGGATGACTTATATAAGCATTTCAGCAAACAGATACAGCCCCTCCATGTGCTCCCTAGATTACACCAAGAAAATAAGAAAACTAATTGTCTAACTGTCCATATTTGTTCCTATTCCCAAAAAAGGAGAGCCAACAGAATGCAGAAATTATCAAACAATGTCATTATATCACCAGCACATGAAATATAACTGAAAATTATTTAAAAAATAGCTGGAACAGTACATTGACAGGAAAATGTCAGAAATTCAAGCTGGATTCAGAAGAGGCCATGAAAGGAGGGATATCATTGCTGATGCCAGATGGATCTTAAGTTAAGCAGAAAATACCCTATAGATGTTTAGTTGTGTTTTATTGACTGTGAAAAGGCATTTGACTGTGTGGATCAATTATGTCTAACATTAGAAACAATGGGAATCCTGGAAAACTTAATTGTGTTCATGGCAAAACCTATACTTGTTCAAACAGAACAAGGGAAGATGACATGATATAAAATATGGAAAAGTATGTGTCAAAATTATATCCTTTTTCCATTCCTATTCAATCTGTATGCTGAGCAGATCATTCAAGAAGCTACATGAAGAATGTGGCATCAGGACAGAAGAAGACTCATCAACAAACTGTGTTATGCAGATAACACAACTGCACTTTCTGAAAATGAAGAAGACTTGAAACACAGCCTTCTATACAGATTATATCTCTTTGGTCACCTTAAAAGCCCCACCCACCAAGACTATATAGCTGTCACTAGATTTTAAGTTTTCTTGAAATAACTTAAAAAAATCTGCTAAAAACCTCAAAAAAAATGCCTCTCCCTTTAATCCTTTTTTCTGTTTTTGAATGAAATAAAAGATCATAAATACACACTTTTCCCCAAGCGTAAGGCTAAACCAGTAGCTTCTGGTGATTGGTCTACCATGTTCAGAGACATGTTGCTCAAATAGATCAGGCTAGTAACGAAGCCCCAGCAGCCTCTACAAATGAGGCCTTGCCAAACACATAAGGACAAACCAAATGATGACAGATACATAGTGTCCACACCAGTCCTTGGGCTTCTCTCCTCCCAAGTTTCACAAGCAGGGTCCATCCGAGGGGAGCAGTCCATACTTCTGTTGGAGAATGGATGTAGTACTTTCCAGGGCACAGCCTGGACGAATGATGCCAAACCTTCCAGGAACAGATAAGTCAATGACAGTAGAGCCAGGGCGATACTCAGGGCTCTGCCCATCACCAATTGGCCCCCCATCAATGACTAGGGACAACTGAGGCCAGAGGTCTTAGAACTCCGTGACAGTCAGAGAACTGGCCTGGGAGCTGAGGTTGGCACTGGTGAGTGCAAGAGGTCCCCCAAACACCTGGGCCAAGTCCTGCATGAAGGCATGATCAGGAATCCGGATACCTATGAGAGAAGTGAAGGGGTTTAAGTCCTTGTTGAGTTCCTCTGTGCGTTCCATCACCAGGGTCACTGGTCCTGGCAAAAGATCTTTGAGAAGCTCCTTGGGAACTCTTACATGGCAGTACCTGTAGACGTCGGCCACGCGGCCCAAGCACACGGCCAGTGGCTTAGTCTCGCCACGGCCCTTGAGGCGGTACACATCTCCCAGTGCCGTCGAGCAACTCGCCGAGCAAGCGAGGCCGTACAGCGTGTCAGTAGGGACGGCCACCACGGCGCCGGCCACGGCGGCCCGCAGAGCTTCGGTCCAGGTGGCGCGCTCGGGGCTCGCAGCCTGCATGGTCCTACTCCCTGGGAGTCGCAACAGCCGAGTCCCAGGCGCCACTGCAAAGGTGGCTGGCGGGCGGAGGAGGCGGCCGCTCCGGGCAGAGGCCGCCGGCCCCTCACTCAAACCCAAGCTGGCAGCCACCGCGGCTCTCAGCCCCCTGCATGGACGCGCCGGAGACATACGCCAAGGCCTGCTTCCAGATTATATCTCAACATCAAGAAACAAAAATCCTCATCACTGGACATCATGAGAGATGCAGGAAAGATCGAAGTTGTGGATTACTTCATTTTACCTGGATCCACAACCAACATCCATCATAGCAGCATAAAGAAATCAAATTACATTTCTCATTGGGAAAATCTACTGTCAAGGATCTCTCTAAAGTGCTAAATAGCAAAGATGTCAGTTTAGAGGTTAAGATGTACCTGATTCGGTGTGGCCCGAGCCGGGTCAGTGGGCGGTCGGGGGTTCTGGATTGTGCGCTCGGCGTGGTCTCTGCAAAGGGTGGTCCAGCTCCTCGTCTCCCTGCGCTGCCTTTGCGTCTCGATGGGCGCGAGCGAGGGGGCCGCCCAAAGTGAGCTGGGCTTGGCGGAAGCAGCTGCGTAACTTTAGGCTTTAAAGCACCTGGCTCCGACTTTCTGGAAGCTGGCATCGCCATGGGCTTTAAAGCATCCTACACCCGCCGCCTTGGAGCTGGCGTACGCAGGGCCCGGTTCCTCTAAATGGAATCTAGGTCTTCAATTCTGGGCCTGTGCTCCTTGCCTTCTGACTTCCGGGGAAGTCTCGTCTGGGTCAGACCGGCGGCTTTACCTTTCTGTCCCTTAAACCGTGATCTGCTGGGCCCTGACCTCATCACCTGGAAGAGCCCATTCACCCTGGACGATCCCTGCAGTAGCCTCGATTGACCTTGAAGAGGATGACTGAGACACTGTGTGTCTGCTCCCGGGGAACTGTCATCATTGACAATAAACGATACCTCTTCATCCAGAAACTGGGGGAGGGTGGGTTCAGCTATGTGGACCTAGTGGAGGGGTTACATGACGAACACTTCTACGCCCTGAAGCGAATTCGGTGTCACGAGCAGCAGGACAGAGAGGAAGCCCAGCGAGAAGCAGACATGCATCGCCTCTTCCATCACCCCAACATCCTTCACCTCGTGACTTACTGTATGAGGGAGCGGGGCTCGAAACATGAGGCCTGGCTGCTGCTGCCCTTCTTCAAGAGAGGTACGTTGTGGAATGAGATAGAAAAGCTGAAGGACAAAGGCAACTTCTTGACTGAGGACCAAATCCTACTGCGGCTGCTGGGTATCTGCAGAGGCCTTGAGGCCATTCATGCCAAGGGGTATGCCCACAGAGACCTGAAGCCTACCAATATCTTGCTTGGAGATGAGGGGCAGCCCGTCTTAATGGACTTAGGTTCCATGAATCAAGCGCGCATTCATGTCGAGGGCTCCCGTCAGGCTCTGGCTCTACAGGACTGGGCGGCCCAGCGATGCACCATCTCTTACCGGGCCCCGGAACTCTTCTCTGTGCAAAGCCACTGTGTTATTGATGAGCGAACCGACGTCTGGTCCCTAGGCTGTGTGTTGTATGCCATGATGTTTGGGGAAGGCCCGTATGACATGGTGTTCCAGAAAGGTGACAGTGTGGCCCTTGCTGTGCAGAACCAGCTCAATATCCCAGAAAGCTCCAGGTGAGCAATAAAAAGACCACCAAGTATTTCAGGTGTATTAGCTGCACTGGGGCTTAGCAGGGGTCACCCAGCAGTCCTCCTCAGCTTGCCCTCCTCCCGCTACAGGTATTCACCAGCCTTGCGGCAGCTGCTAACCTCCATGATGACCGTGGACCCCCAGCAGCGTCCCCATGTTCCTGTCCTCCTTGGTCAGGTGGAAGCCCTGCAACCCCCACCCCCTGACCAAAGCATCACACAAATCTGAAGAAGCCAGTGTGAGCCTGCTGAGAAAGTGGACCTTTGTGCCTTGCGAAAGGTTCCTTCCTGTGCCTCATTCAAATTTCCATCTAGGACTGTTCTCTATTGGTGGGACAGGAAGAACAGGTACATGCCTCTCACCCCTGCATCTGCACTTCAGCTGGAGCAGTACCAGCTGGACAAGGTGCCTGGTTGAAGTAGGAGTATGGGGGAAGGGAAAAGGGAATTGCTAGAACGTGGTTCATGGCTTTGAGTTCTTATCATGGTCTGCCTCCAAACTGAGAGCAGGAGAATGTGTAAACAGAAGAATAAAGCGAAAGCTGGTTGATGTAAAAAAAAAAAAAAAGATGTACCTGATTCAAGCCATGGTATCTCCAATTGTTTCCTATGCATCTGAAAGTTAGACAATGAATAAGGATGACAAGAATACATGCTGTTGAATTGTGATGTTGGACATTATTGACTATATCATGGAATGCCAAAAGTACAAATAAATATGTCCTGTTTGGAATTGCAACCAGAGTGCTCCTTGGAGGCAAGAATGATGAAACTTCATCACACATGCTTTGGGGCAATCCTTGGAAAAAGTCATGCTATGAAATTTGGAGGATCAAAGAAAGAGAGGATGATCCTCAATAAATGAATTGACCAAAACATCTATGAGATATCATCTCACCCCAGTAAGAATAGCAAAAGTTAACAGAGCAGCAGACAACAAATGCTGGTGAGGTTGTGGAGAAACTGGAACCCTTATCCACTGTTTGTGGGAGTGTAAAATGGTGCAACCACCATGGTGCAGAACATTGGGGAGAAAGGGAAGGTCTCTGGCCAGGACAGACTGCCTAAGCTCCGGATAAGTGCAAGCCTCTCAACGGCCCTTAATACAGGATAGAGAAAGTGTTCCTGTGTTTGGCCATACTGGCTTGTGAAAGCTCACCACCTGGGAAAATGGCTGTTGCATCTATTGAGCTGGGAGTGGTCTGCATGAGGCTGAGGCTCTCCTAACCAATCTGCATGTCTCATTTCTGTAAGCCCACCCTATCCTGTCTTCCTGTTTACATGCTTGTACATAAGTGCAGAGCAGTCTCAATAAAACTGAGCTGGATTGACTCTCTGATCCTCTCCTGGAGTATCTCTGTCGTGCTTATGCTTACCCCCATTAGGGTGTTGCTGTTAAGTTGCTGGTGAACAGACAGCGACATATGGTGCCTGGAACATGGATGGACCTGATGAAGTATTGGGTGAGTACCCACTGTGCTCACTCCTGTCAGGGTTTTGGGTGAGTGTTCCCTATGCTCACTCCCATCAGGTATCAGGTGAGCACCCCTTTCTGTGCTCACTCCCATCAGGTATCAGGTGAGCACCCCTTTCTGTGCTCACTCCCATCAGGGATCGGGTGAGTAGCTCAAGACGTAGTCTTGGGGACCTGACGTAGGCTTAAATTTGACGTAGGTGGAAGGAAAGGGACCAGGCATAGTTTTACCTTATTGGGTAAGCACGCCTTCCTTAGGCAAAAAGCAAGGGAAAAGAATTCATTCTTCTCCTTTCCAGACTTGCCCCTGTTAGGGGGCAGAGAACTGATGTGGATCCATCTTACTGGGAAAGTGCTCCCTTGCTCTAGCAAGGATAATTCAGCAAGCATTTTAAAAGATTTGCCAAGCAGTTTGAAATATACTAAAGTAAAGTGTTTAATGTTTTTGTTAGAAAGTAGGGAGGTCAAACTTACACAATCTCAAGTTTCCACAATCTCAAGCTTCCTCCCTTTGGACAACAGTTGTTGATATTGCCCCTTGGATTACTGCAGCTCACATCTTTAATGTGCAAACCTGGAGCCCTTTAGAGTAGTGAGAGAAGACTTTCACCCTGGGACCTGCAATACCCTTTCCCAGCAGAAAGTAGCTAATTAGCTCTTCTAATGAATCAGGGTGAAATCTCTCTCAGGGGGAATGACAGGGAATGGCAAAGGACATGCTGACAAAGGTGACCAATCAGAACTGGTTTTGACAAAGCCTGTGGCACCATTAGAAGAAATGCACCATCAGCTGTTTATAAAGTTATGGCAGGGGATCTAAAAACAGCCCTAAAAATTTTAGAGATGATTACACCACCTTTTCTCTAGTCTCTGAAGAAGTGAGAAAAACAAAGCAGGTGGGGACAATATAGAGAAAGCAGTGAAGAAATGGAAAATTCTTGGGCTGAGGTATTGTGTGATCCGTGAGATGCTGGGTGGAACTCTGAGGTACGTGTGTGCTCTGTTGGCGTGCACCCAACACCTGAGTGTCCTTTACACAAAGTATTGTGTGATCAGTGTGAGGCTAGCTCTGAGGCACATGTGTTTCTTGTTGACGTCTATCCCACACCTGCACATCCTTTACAGTGGTAGCCATGTGCTGGGAGAGTTAAAAGAACTTAAGAAGCTGTTAGAGATGATGGAGCTCGTTCTCTGTGGGCGAAGGCACAGATGAATTCATTAAGCCTTAATGTAAACACCCCTCAAAATTGGAAAGATATGATGAGGGCAGTTTTTAAAAAATCTCCCATATGTGTTCACTGGCAATCAGATACCTCTCCCAGTAAGCCACCAATATGAGTCACGTGGAAGGATCCATTAGACTAATTATGGAAAGGGGATCCTTTACTAACCATTGGGAGAAGTTTTGCTTTTATTTTCCCCAGAACAAACCACATCCTGTGTGGGTTCCTGCTAGTCATGTCCAATTCCTATCCACCTACCGAGAAGATGAGTTGATTGAGCATCCACGACAAGAAGATGAGACAGAGGAAAAGGAAGCTGAAGCCACAGACACCTGTGACGTGGGGCATGCTAAAGGCTCTCAACCAACAGGCTCTTTCTTTACCTTAACCCTGGGAGTGGTAAACCCAGTGGTCTTGTGTTTATAACACTGCTTATCACTGCTTTGACCATCAATAGTGCCACAGCAGGAGAAGCTAATCAGGTTTTGAAAGCTTTTGTTTCTTCACCCGCATTTCCTATATGTACGTGGCTCTCTTTGCTATCCTATATTCATCTCCCAATCCAATCTGGAAATCAAGTTATGGCAATACTAACCTTTTTTATTATCTCCCCAGTTGTCATTACAAGAGCAGCCATAGACCTCTTCACCAGACAGAATGCTCAAACCGCTGCACTGAAGCCCTACATCAGAGACTTTCCCCTCTTTGAATTCATTTAAAAAGAAAAAGGGAGGAGATGTTGTGAAATGTTAGGGAGGAAGGGAGGGTCTTAGGCCAGGACAGATCGCCCAACTCCTGGTAAGTGCAAGCCTCCCAGTGGCCCTTAATACAGGATAGAGAAAGTGCTCCTGTTTTCGGCCATACCAGTTTGAGAAAGCTCACCACCTGGGAAAACAGGTGCTGCATCTGTTGAGCTGGAAGTGGTCCGCATGAGGCTGAGGTTCTCCTAACCAATCTTCATGTCCCATTTCTGTAAGCCCATCCTATCCTGTCTTCCTGTTTACATGCTTGTATATAAGCGCACAGCAGTCTCAATAAAATTGAGCTGGGTTGACTCTCTGATCCTCTTCCAGAGTAGTGTATCTCCATTGTGCTTATCCCCATCAGGGTGTTGGCTGTCAAGTTGCCGGCGAACAGACAGCAACAAGGCAGTATGGTGCTTTCTCAAAAAGTTACAAATAGAAATAAATACTATTTGACCCAGCAATTCCACTACTGGGAATATAACCCAAAGAAACCCTAACAGCCACCCAAGCAGATATATGCACATCCATGTTTATCGTGGCTTTGTTTACAATAGCAAAGAGTTGGAAACAACCTAAGTACCCATCACCAAGCAAATGGATAGAGAAGCTGTGGAATACTACACTGCATTGAGAAGCAAGGAACTTGTGATATACAATGGGTGACCCTGGAGGACATGCTGAGTGAAAGATCTCAGTCACAAAAGGACAAATACTGCATAATGCCACTGTTGTAAAACGGGACTGATATCGGGATTGGGGGGAGACTGAGAAAGATGGGATAAATTATGTATATACTACATTGAAACAGATGAGGTAAAGAACTGTTTAAAAGGGATATATGATTAGGTATTGCCATGACAGGAGTCCAGAATGAAGGCTGCATAGTGGAGTGGACTTGAGGGGAGGGATTGTATAACAATGGAAGAATTTTTCTTTTGCTTTTCAAAGAGAAGAGTGAACTGTGGTGGGGGGAGAGGTGGGCAGGGAGAAAAGGGCAACAATCAATGGAATTCCAAAGTCTCTTAACTTTCATTAAAATTAATAAAAAATTATAAAAAGTGAATCAACACAGTGACTATAACCATGGCCTGGAGTACATCAGAGATCATGAGGATTGTGCAGTATAGGGCCAGGTTCCTATCTGTTCTTGATACGTTTGTTTGAGTTATAGTTGACTCAACAGCAATGTATAAAAGAACAAAAACTTGTCCCATTCTGCATCGTTCTGACAATTTCTGCTGCATTTAGCCCATTTGAAATCACTGTAAATCCATCCCATTCAGAATCTTCCTTGCTCTCAGAGACCTTTCTCTCAGGGCTGGCCCCTCCTGACAGTATACATACTATCCTTGCTTCTAAGGAACTCTCTGGCTGCACTTCTTCCAATAGATATGCTCGTTCTTCTGGTAATCCATGGTATGTTCAATATTCTTTGCCCACACTGCAATTGAAAGACCTCAATTCTTCCATCTTCCTTATTCATTGTCCAAATTTCATGCAATCATGTTAAATGCACCTTACTTTTTAAAGTGATATCTTTGCACTTAGTAATTTGAAGAGCTTCCTGGCCTCAGATTTGCCTTGGAAACCCCATGGGCCATTCTGATTTTTTAACAGTTTGAAGGTTTTATGGCAACCCTGTATCATGCAAGTCTATCAGTGCTATTTTTCCCAACAGCACATGCTCACATTGTATTTTGGCCTAGTGGTAAGTAAGTGCAATTGCAATCGTGAAGGCATGAGATTCAAATTACCCAGCTGCTCTGTGGAAGGATGGGCAATCTCA